TCTCATGTAGCATTTACCATATGTTTGGCTTGTTGGCAATTTAATCAGTCTGAATAATCTTGTTTTGTGACAAACCTCCTAAATCACAAAGGAATGATGCAGTTTGTATGGGTGAAATGTGCTCTACAGGGATATTTCAAGTTGAAGAATAAAAATGAGAATTAGGCAATACAGAATTCATTGAAAGCCAGTTTTCCAGCTGCTCTAATTTCCCATAATTTAATTTGTGTGCAGTCAAAAGCAACTTGGAGGTTTCCAGCAAGATGATACAACTATGGGCGAGGCTAGACAGAGAGTCTAAAATGTGCTTAATGTATTGCAGTTCCATGCTGTAAAAGCATCTCCTAGGGCCAAATACAGACAGCATAACATCCTCGTGAATTGGACCATTAAAGAAAACTGTGAAGGTGCAAAGCTGTAGCATTGCCCTGAAATTAAAGCATTGTCACCTTTGAATTATGGAAACAATTTAACAAGCATTTAGGAAATCTGCTTTTTAAGGCTACAATAAACTCTTCCAGGTTATGCAGTAGAGGATGTGGCTGCACTTTGCTATTTGGTTTTGAATGACTTTCAGCTTGTGTGTAGTTTGAAATTGTACCAAGCTGAGAAAGCAACAAAATAATAAAGCAGAATAATGGAAGATAAAAATAAACAGTAATCTATGCCTGGAGCACAGCTTTTTAATTCTCAGTGCAGATTCACAAGTGCAAGAAGAGCTTGTTAAGTTGAGTAAACAGGAAAAAAACGTAGTATGGACAGATGTAAAAATACAATGATAACTTCTGCACTGAAATAAACGAAATGAGAACTTTATCTGAATAGTTTAACAGTTTTCAGCTTGGTTTGCATCTGTGATTACAGTGTCACTGCCTAAAATATAATGTAAACAAAACAGAGCAGAAATTAAAAAGAAAACAAACAAAAAAATCCTTGCATTATGAAATAGGAACAGTATTTGAAGCCTCACTTTCAAAAGCTGTAAGTGTTATTGGTGCAGAGGTGTGCCTCTGTAAAGACGTGCAAAACATGAAGCAAAGTTGCAGACATATGTTGCACTGCTTTCTAGTTATAGTGATCTGTGTGCATGTCCAGATTGCAGCTCCATGTCTTACATAGGTCCTTGCCTGAAGCACAAGCTCACAGACTGTTCTCAGTAGGCTTCAGAGTACACAGGGATTGAATAGTAAGCGTGTAATTCCTTGAACTTATTCTGAGAGCAACCCTAGCAGAACATGTGCAAGTGAATTAGAGAAAACAGAATGATCATTTTTCTAAATTATACCAGGTTTGAGTTGGAGAAAATGGTATTTGAATAAACCCTAAGACTTGACCTGAAAGGTGATGGTCTTCAGAAGAAATTCTGGGATTATTTTTTAGTGTTTTTCTGATCTATGGAAGCAGGTGTGAGGGTCTCGCTGCTGTCTTGGAATGGTTCAAGGGTTTCCTGCCCTCCAGCTCTTAGTTACTTCTCCCTCAGTCAGTGGAGGTGCAGGAGGGAGCAGTGTTGGCTCTCACACTCTATCCAAAGCAAACTAAATTTAAAGTCATTTTCAGGCTCATTTGCTGCATGTAAACAGAAGGGCGTCCTTTAGAAAGAAGGGACTTTCTCTAACTTTTTTATTCTGATGTGAATGTAATATTTATTCTTCCAGCAGGTTGTGTGTGACTTCGTGTACCTTACCTAACCCTTCTACACCTCATGTTCCTCTTTCTAAAAGAGAAGTACTTATTCTTTCCCTAGGAAATGGGAAGAAGCATAACTGAGATGGCTGAAAACCTCTCTCTTTCTCCTCTTACCCTGTTGCCACCAGCTCTTTTGTTGTGCATCTGTGTTCTGTTGAGCCACCTGCCCCTTTGCTTGCTGGTGGCTGTTACTTTCCTTTCACTAGATCAGTGAGACAAACATAGATCTTTTTTGAGAAGCTGAACTGATGGTTACTTTTACTTCAAAGATGAAGCAAAGAGGGAAACTTTGAAGTGACTAGCAAAGCACAGATCTAATCTGTGGAAATTTTAAGCGTAACAGATCAGGCATGTGTAGATTAGGAAATCTCTGAAATGTAACTCCAGGATTCTTTTCATCTGCTATAACTTTTTTAGCTCCATTCTGAAGTACTTTGAGCACAGAAAGAAACTTAATTTGTTTTTTTTTCTTTTCCCTGTATAAACTGGAGGATGGAAAACAGGTTAGCTTATTTCTAAAAGATCTAAATGCAATTCTGGAATGTCAAAGTTTAGATCTCAGAGGGACAACTGAGTGCAGCTGTAATGATAACAAGACTGTGAAAATTAATGAAAAATCATAGAGGAAAATATGAGTAAGACCTGTCGCATTGTCTGTTAAACACACTTGTTAATGAGTGCTTGCTGCTAACAATATATCTGCTGATGTCTTGTCCAACCTCATTTCAAACATGTCAATTAATTAAATTTCTAACACTTTTTGAGAAGACAGTTTTATGCTATACTATTTTAGTAAGTTTTTCCTAGTAACCCTTTTTTGCTTCTAAATTACTAGATGTTGATGCTTTTGACTTTTCACGTACCCATAAGGTGACTTTTCACGTACCCACATGGCACCTTATCGGTGCACAACCTGGAAAGTACAGTAGTGTTAACCATTGAAACTCTAGCCTTAGGCTGCTGTTCTTCCTGAGTGGCACTGTAGCCACTATTGTAAGCATTGATTTGCATTGCATTTTCATAAAATTATGTTAAGAACTCTCAGCAGGGAAGTGCTTCTGACCATCCACCTGGAATTTAGCAACCAGTTTATTCCATCGTCTCCTGGTTTTATGTCTCACATTATCAACAACTTAGTGTTTGTCTTTTTGGTAGATATTTCAGTTAAGGCAGAGGTTAAATTTCTACCAGCTTCAGTGAGAGGAAAGTTAACTCATCCTCAACTGCTTCTGAAAAATCTACTCTGTTCTTGTCAATATTGCCTCGAGAGAACAAAAGAATAGAGAGAGACTGGCTGATAAGAATCACTACTTTAAGATGTACAAGATGTCTGTTACAAAGTCATTGAATTATATTGTGTTGGAAGCAATATATGTGCAGGATTGTAGAGGGTAAAGTGTTGGCTGTGATTACAACCACTGAGACAGGCATTACAAGCAATAAATTGTAGTATTTCTTATGACTTTAATCTAACTTTTGTGTATCACACATTGCAACAATGTTTCTTTGAGCTCAAACTCAAAGGATGCACAAGCAGCATCCTGAAGTCAATAAGAACCACAGAATTGCAGATCTATGAGCAAACTTTCTGTCTACCATGACAGAAATTATGAGAAGGTTGTGAGTGAATGTGTGGTTTACTCTGTGTAAACTGTTCTTAGAGTTAATGCCAGTTAATTTCTCTCTAACTTGCAGCCATGTCTTGGAACAAACCTCTTTAAATAGTCTCCAGATGGTTGTTGTTACTTGGCTGTCATCTAAATGCCTCCATAATGACAATTCATTAAATCATCTCAGTGTCTTTGCACAGATAGTCCATTTAGGATTTTTATACACCTATTAGCATTCTGTTGAACTAATCTGTTGGATATTTGTAGCCCAACGAAAAATACTTTGACTGCAATGCCTTGCAGTGACCACAGAGCTACTGGGCTCATCATGCCAGTGTATTGGGGAGTAACTGGATAGCTCATGCTCTGCAAGAACTTAGACCAGGTAATCTGGTAAAACCGTCTGAATCCTTAAATGCACAGTTTTTAAGATCAGCTTAGAAAAGATCCTATTCAGTGTTATCTAGGATTTCAAAGATGAAGCTTAAATAACAAAATAGAAATCTCTTGCCTCAATCTCACCTCTTCCTCTGTAACTGTCTGTATGTTTCTGCAAGTGAGATTGAAATCTCCCTCTCATCAGGTGATTAGAAATTACTGCCTTAAATTTTTGCCCTCTCGATATCTTGTATCCTCCCTAGGCAAGCAGGGTCTTTGATAAAGAGGGAATTTACTGGATGTGACTCTTAGTAATAGTGTGGGGCACATGTAGGGCTCAGTCCTGTGAATCCTTGTTGAAGAGTTTGCCTTTAACTCCAGGCCAGCTCAAAAACCAGACGTTCAGGTTGTCCTTGCTACCTTGCCCATTGCTATCCCAGAACCAGCTGAGGAAAAGCCTGCCTGCTAAGCTGATTGCTCCTAAGTATGATGTTCTCATTAGCATGCCAACCCCAATGCTGGTCATGAGCTAGATTGTAAGGGTGCAGGTTGTGCTTAAGCCTACATTCTACTTTCTCTCACCTACAAAATCCCTTGCTCTGCCAGTAAATGCAATGAAGGAAATGAGAATGGGCTCACCAGCATGGTAAAGCATCAATATTTACAGTTAACTACAGATGCCGAGTCATATGGTGTTCTGTACCATCATCCAAGTAGGACATCACTCAACTTATATGTAGAAAAATCAGAACTGAGTAAAATGAGTGATCTGACTTCCAACTGGGCGATAAGAACATACTCTCGGTTTTAGCTTTCTGGCAAGAAACTGCTTTCTGCTTGTGGTGATTTTGTGCAAGGTCATCAGCTGCAGTTCTCTACTTCCATTTGTTATTACAACAGTGTGGGCTGTTCTCTCAGATACAGATAGTTTGCAAAAGATGACTGTTACCCCCATGAGCCATACTATTATGTCTTTTCTCTCAGGGATAAAGGCAGCTGAAAGGTATCTAATTTTATTCAGATACCTGGCAATAGAAGATGCCGAAGATCTCCTGTGGTTCCCGGGAAGCTTGTAGTTTCTCTCTTGCTCAGCAGGCACCGTAGTGTTTGTTTGAGTTGGTTCAGGGAGAAACATCTCTGTGGGTCATGTTGACCTTTAATGAAGACCTATTGGTCTTCATCACAGAGTAACCATTTTGGAGCCCAGGGTCCTGCTGATGCTCTCTCCAATGCAGTAAAGCATTGGATTTCAATTGGGTTTTTGTTCCCAGCTTGTTGAAAGGGTTTGGCTTTTAACTTCCCATTCAATCATTTTTCATTTAACAGAAGATAAGATCTGGACTGCAGTACAGCACAACAGCACAGGGCTAACCAGAGTCCAAGGAGCTGACCGGGAGAAGCCGTACACCATGTCCTTCAACTACAACAGCAGTGCAGAGCAGCTGGAAGCCGTGATAAGCAGTGCAGAGAACTGTGAGCAGGAGGCAGCCTACCACTGCAAAAAGTCACGTCTCCTGAATACCCCGAGTAAGTACCACAATCCCAAATCTTTCCTTCTTAACTCTTATTGATTATACAGCAGGTACAGGCCACACTGCAAGTGAGGAGAAGAAATAAAATCAACCAAACAAACACAAAATTGATAGTAGCAATATAGAATGGAGTGAAAAACCTTTTAATTTCTTGGATACTTCTGTGCAGTGCTTGTTCTCTGGTGCAAGAGTGTACAGGCTCTGCAGGGGAGTTTCCAGTCCCTAAATTCATGTGTGCACAGACCCTGAAAACTTCTACAATAGAAAGTTCTGCCTAGAAACCACAAAAACTTTATTTAGCTGTTGGCAAAGAGATGTGCTTATTAATTTACTGTTTCTATCTTTATATTAAATATAAAAAGCACCCAAATGCTTCCAGACTATTAACGTTATGAAGGGGAGGGGTGTACCCTCTTCTGAGTCCCACAGCCCTGAAAATGATGTTTAAGTACAGTTCGGTAGTACAGTTTCTGAGCCAAAGCTATCTTTGCCCTTGTGATAGCAGGAATACGTATTTTGCCCTGACTTAATGCAGCAGAAAAAAGGAAGCAGAGAGTCTGATCTATTTGTGTTTCTCTGCAGTACTAAATTTCCAGTGGCTACTCAGAATGTCTGCCTTCTACTCAGCTCTGTCTTGATGTCAGGATTTTACATTTGCTTATCGAGAGAGATGAATGACATTAAGGGCAGGCTTCTGGCTGTCTTCAAAGTCTCCTCTGGTTACTTGTAATGTCTGTATGGTCCTGGTGATTCTTTGATTATTAGCAACTCTTACATTTGTTAGTAGTGTTGAAGACATCCCACGGAAAGCCTGAAGGGGACCTTGCAATGGGATTTCCTGTTGTGTTAAAAACACATTGCCTAATGAGATGCATCAAAAACCCTCCTGGTTTCAAAAAAGTTACTATAACACTGAATGTTTATGTATCCAGTAATCAGATGCCTTACAGTCAGTTTATTTTTAAAAACTGTGAGTTATGTCTTTTTTTATTATCAGTTTTACCAGCCAAGAACTACTTGTATTACTAATTTTTTTTTAGAGAATGAAATGTTAATATCAGCATCCAGGGTAGAGCACAAAGGGAAAACAAAATGCAGGCATACCTGCTCATAAAGAGGGGGAATTGATGTCTAACACATGCTTTCAGTGTTGCTGACTTCTGTATCCCACACCTCAACTGACATGTTATAAAGATAAAATTCCACAGGAATTATTTCTGAAATTTTTTTTAAGGATGACTACCACAGTATTAGAGCAGGTCTTCATGTGTTTTGATTTTTGCACATTTCCGTGAGTTATTTGGTCATGTGTATGCAGGAACATATGCTCTGAGTGTGTTTTGAGACACCCCTTGAATGTGGGACCTCTCTAAAGCTAGGGACGCTTCTTAAGAATCCAAACCTTAGTTAAAAAAAAAAAAAGATAATCTTGTGTAAATTGACACTATGCAAACTGTCCATCTTCAGGGCTAGAGTTATCAAACAATAGGCAGACTGGCTAAGATGGTTCCTGACAGGCAGCTTATTCTCTACTTTTCAAGGACCAAATTTGTGACTCAGATCCTTCAAAGGAGAGGACGTGGGGATGGTGTCCAGCATTCTGACTTGCGCCTTTGCAGTTGATGTAGTGCCACTGTGGTCCTGACAGTTGGCCACACAAGAGTTGCACAACTCATTACTCTTTACAACAACTTCATCTGAGAGATAATAATAATAAAAAATTACAATCCAGTGCTGCATGTGGCAGACACTGCCATTTTTTCCTCTTTTTTTCTTCTTTTTGTATACATTATAATTACACTTACAATTTTTCGATTTGTCATCCTGAACTTTCTCAGTAGTCTAATACTTTAAGTTTGGCAAGTTGTGGAACGTGCTCAAAAATAAATTGTTTCAGTCCTTGAAATGACAAAATAAGGGTAATTTGTTCTTAGCTGAGTATTAAATATTTTTAAATGTTAGAAAGGCATTGTTTTCTTCAAAGTCTTAAAAACTCTTTTAATTGATGTTAATTTTAAGGTGAACTGCTAGTACATTATAGAAGAGCCTAGAGACCCAGGTGTCTTGAAGAGCTCTAAGACTTAAAGAATTTCCACTCCTAAAGTTGAATATGAGCTACAAGTGTGAATAACTTTAGGGTATTTTGCTGGACTCGCTGCAGAAGGTTCTCACCTGTGTTGTTTATGCCCAGAAATGACTGGAGGGAGTTTGATTTGGGGTCAGAGCAACAGAACAAAGATCAAAACTCTTGGGTTTTGTTTCTTGATTTGGCCTAGGCTTTTGGATGCCTGAAGCACTACATTCTCTCTGTGTTACCATAATGTGTAAATGCAGTTAATAAACCACACTTCAGATCTTCCTTCAGAAGCTGGTATATGATGTACATGTATTGATGACAATATTGCTTTCATAGACCAGAAAGAAACGTTACCTGACCTAGTCCAGTTTGCTCAATATCACCCCTCACTAGTACCTCTGGACTGAGCCCAGTGGTGAATGCTTGGTGGAAAGGCATATCCCAGAGGTACATCTGATCTTGACAAAAAACTATAAAATTTCCCATTCCTTCAAGAAATCTAATCCATTTCTAAGCTTCCTTTAATTTTTTTTTGTTTGTTTTTGTTGGGGTTTTTTTGTTGGTTTTTGTTTTGTTTTGTTTTTGTTTTTGTTTTTGTTTTTGTTTTTCTCAAGGAGATGGAACACATGATTAGGATATTTCAGCTGATAGCACCAACACACCAAATCTTTGTCTTCTGGGCCAAACACTATCATGTTTCACAAAAAAGAAATAAAAAGATTTCTCTTTCCTCTTGCATTGGTAGTGTTACTCTTCAAAAAAGCTGCATGCTGTTACATAGTAATTTTGGCTTTCACAGCTTGGACATGGGGGAAAGGGACAAGCAAGGCATGCAGGACTGCCTCAGAGAGAAACCCAGGAAGGCTTCTGGATTACATAAAGTTGTTCCAGTTTATATCAAGGAATTTGTCTTTCTTCTCTTTATATTCTCTCTAGCCCTGAAGACACAGGCACATCCCCAGTGGGTGTGATTGAGCGTAGTATCCCCATTGAGTTACTTGGATTTACATCTGCAGCGTGTCAGACATGCAATCTGGCAGTTGGCAAAGGAGTTTACTCATCTCCACCTCCTGCTGTCTGGAACAGCCTTATCAGTTCTCACTGTCATAGTATGGTTTAGCTGCAAGCATGTCTTTGAAAGCAAAAATTAAATTGCCCTGAACTGCATTTTTGTACATCTCTGCCATCAGACAGATTTTAAGAAGGTTTGTGAACATCAGAGTAGATGTCTGTTCATCAGAGAAATAGCTGGCTTTCTTATGGTGCTGGCAAATGAAACTTATATGACCGGTTATTGCAAGTTTCTTGTGACTTTTCTATATCTGTTGGAGAGACACACAACCAGAGCAAATCTGACAGTTGGCATTAATTAGGAAAGTCATCCACACTTAGGAAAAGATTGCAGACTTTACCACCACCTTATCCTTAGATGCAGAGACCAAGTCAAGCTAGGAGGAGAGGAGGGGGGTGGGCAGGAAACTTGGGCTACCTCTAAATGTTCTGTCTGTGTTCTGAGACTATGAAAAGAAATGTAGCCCCTTAGGTCTTTGATTTCCTTTCTTTATGGAGCATTTCAGGCAATACCTAGGAAAAGAGTATATGTGCAAGGGTAGATACTTGTGTGCCCATGCACCTTTATTAAACTGTTAACATACAAGGTGTTTGAAGGTATGAAAACACTTTATTAACTGAGTAAACCCTTGGATCTGACTGAATTTACTCAGTTTTCTGGAAGCAGTAGATGTATTCAAATGCTTAAAATTTGTGAATCTGCCTCACATCCACCTTATCAAGGACTTAGCACTGATGGCTATATCAGTGGCAGGATAGCTTGCTTTACAATAGTTGGCTGACAGTCTGTCAAGTTCATAGTACATTTGTGTGGGCAGGGACTGAGAAAAGATCAGTCCTAGAGCAAATAGGAATGTTTGTAGGTGGTGGGGTTTTCCTGCCTTCTTCCTTATTTTTCTCTTTCTAGTAGAATAACCACAGCATGTCACCTCAGGCTTAGATTTCAAGCATCCCCCCTAAGCTACTCACCTCTTTCCTGATCTTCCTGCCTGTCCCTCTTATGGTCTGTCAAGTCCCACTATTATATGACTTGTGCCCAGGTTTCCATCTCCTCTTCTCCCCTTTCCCCTCCCAGCTAGTCCCATATCTCAGTGTCAAGCTGCACCATGTGCCGTCACCAGCTCTGTGACCCCTTGTGTCAGGCAGCTGTTAGCCCTCACTGGTGAACCACTGCATTTGCATTTTGTAACTCCCTATTAGAGGGAAAGATGTAGTGCTACCTCACAGCAGGGAACATGTCCTAATTTCTGAATTTAGACTTAAGATTTAATTCTGCTACTCAGACAGTTCAATGTCTTTCAAGCTCTAGCCCTGTATGTTGCTAGAGCTCTGTCTGTGCACACTTCTTCCTTAGTCCCCTATGGGACTAGTGATGTCAAAGCTGCTAAGAAATGTCCTTCAGGGTCCTGCCTCCAATAGAGGCTGCTGGCGAGATGCAGCTTAAGGTGAGTACACAAGTCTGGTGTCTTCAGCACATCCCTCAATATGTCCCCATCACCCACTGTTGCTCAATTAAGGGCATTAGAGTTTATGCTATTGCCAATCCCTTTTAGTATCTACTATGGATCTGGTTTTCATAAACTTGTCTAATCACATTTTGAACTTTATTATGTTGCCTGCCTCTGCAACCTCCTAAGAAAGCAAGTTTCAGGAGTTCCTCACTTGCTGTTTTACAGAACTACATTTGTGGGGGTTTTAATGTGGTTTTGACTGCTATTTTGCTCAGTGCAGTGAGTTCTTGTATTGCAGTATGCAGTGAAATGGAGTTTTGTGCTCATCCAGTGTTTTTACAGTGCTCTTAGTCTTCTTGGACTTTCACTAGCTCTAGTATTTTTTTCAACTGAAGT